CCCCCCCCCCCCCCCCTGGCAACCAGCCATTGAATATCGTGCCTTTCCCACGCAGTTGCTTTACCTTCATCCGCACCAACCTATCGCTGGGCCGGCTGGGGGCGACCGATGCCACACGCACTCTGCTGGTGGTCGACGTGGCCGACCGTTCCGCGGAGCCAAGCCCTGTAAGCCGGCTGCCGTGCCCCCTCCCCTCCGCCTCGCCGTTCCCCTCACCGCCCGACGACACCCACTGCATTGCGTCGGGGTCGCCCACGCCCACTCACTCCAACGACGAGGCCTCGCCACAGTCACAGGCCACACGAACCGGCGCACTACAAATGGGTACAGACAGCCACTGACACAGAAACAAAAGGTTTGATGGACGGGGGAATGGATCGTGTGTATGTGGTTGGTGTCAGGCGTCACGCGGTTGTTCTCTCTGCCCATCATGTTTCCATGGGGTCGCAACTCCAGCCAGCCGGTGGAGCAAGACGATGCTGCAGGGGGCGGGGGCGAGCAGAACAACCCAGCTCGGTTGAAATATCTGCAGGTGGGCGGCCGTTCGGTGCGTGGGCGGAGCAGCCACACGGACGACAGCACCCCCACCACTCTGCCGGGCGGCGTGTCTTCTTGCGCCGAGGAGCAGTCGCCACACACAGCAGTTGGGGAGCGGGGGCAGCACGTCCACACAGAGTGATGCGATGGCAGACAGACAGACAGACAGACAGGTGGGTGGCTGGGGACTGATTAGTCAGGGAGATTGATTGTATGTGTACAGGGAGCTGCTACATGCTCGAGTGTAGGTCCATCCATCCATCCATTGCTTTCGTGACTGATTGACCGTGGGCGTGTGTAGATGGCCTTTTCGCTTAAGCCAACGAGTGAGCGAGCGGGCCCGTGAATGCGTGCAACGGTGAGGGAGAGGGAGGGGAGGGGCTTAGCTTAGCTCGGCTTAGCGAGAGGGAATTCGGTTGCTGAAGGGAGAGGGGAGAAAGCAGTCCCCTCTTGTCCATCTGTCATCCATCTGTGTCTGCATATATCCTGACTATTCCTCTGGAGGCCACTCTTTACAAATTCGCTTGTGGTTGCGCCTTGCCCTTGTCCAGCCTGCCTCACGTCCGGATGAGACACACGCTTTCGTCTCGCCACAGTGTGGGCATTTCCATGTCTGCCCTCCTCTCGCGACGCTCTTCTCAAATTTCGTCTTGCCTGATATCTTGCCAGCTACAGATACACACACACACACACACACAGACAGATGCAATGACCCACCCGACTCGTGCCCTCTGCCGGCACCCACCAGCAGACTGATTGTTCGCCTTCTTGCTAGCTACAGACACACACACACACAGAGAGACAGACAGACACGGATGCAATGACCCATCCGAATTTGTGTTTGTCTACCTCTCACGCGCGCCTCGTGCAGTGATTCCTTGATGGCCTGGGCCGTTTTGGGGCCGGCGTGCTTGGGAGGCAAAGTCCTCGGCCTGTCGGGAATGACGTACTTGAGGTCCTCTGCCGACCACCCGTCCGGCAGACGTCCTGTCGGCACAATGCCGGCCGACTTGTCGATGTGCAGAGACCCGAACTGGTGTTGACCAACAGCGCCAGTGTATACGATAGAGATGGGGTAGTTGAGGGGGTGCTCGGTGTGTATCATTATGATGTCCAAGACGCGCGTGAGACGGGCAGGAGTCCAGAATTTGTCGACGAATCGATACCGCGCGAGAAAATGGTCTATTCTATCTGAAACAACACACAATCAGACGCGCATATACACACACATTCCGAGGCACACACACAGACAGTCAGCCAGACAGACATGCCCCCCTCCTGGTCTCCTTGCATGCCTTTCTGCCTCCCGGCAGGCTGAGTGCGTCGCATACCTGTTTGGCTGGGGGATGTGGCCCGAATAGGGACGCACGATATCCGAGAGTTCTTCGAGAAGCGGCTGGGGAAGGACCGGCGGCGCAGGGAACATCTGAGGCGCCGCCCAGCCCATCGTTGCCTTCATGAGACGGATCATCGCTGCACGACATCAACACACAGACATACAGACAGATGCGCAGCCATCCACCGGTCAGACAGGCCGGCCTCCCTCTCTGCCTCCCTTCCTGCCTCTCTCCCAGTGTGCCTTCCTTTCCTTGTGGATCCTTAGCGCCTGTTTGTTCTTGGATGAATTGCTGGACTTCGCGATAGTCTGTCAGATCAAATTTGCCCCTCACGGAGCACTGCGTGAGTAACTGTCACACACACACACACACACAGACGAGGCAGCCAATGATGACACACACCTGTTTGGATGTGTGCATGACTTACCTTTATGGGATGAGTGCCTTTGCCGTATGCGCCAGCATCGTTGTTGCAGCCATGAACGGTCCTGGTCTACATGATGCTGACTGATGTGTTGTTGTGCAGACACTCTTTGCCTTACCCACGTGAATGAATGAATGGTTGATTGTTGGTGTGACATCAATGATATCACATGGACAAAGCACACACAAACACATGTACACGCGTGTCACGGTCATCCAGTCATGACTGCACACCCACACTCTTCAGCCTCTAACCAAGCCGACCCTTTGCACCTCCCTCACCCGACACGTGCTCGCTCAGACACGCGCTTGCTCACGACTAGCCCCCGCCCGCGAGCAGCCGGTCCAACGCAGCGTTGACATTGCCCCCCACAGACTGCAACGCCCTGCACACAGGAAGCACCACACCTCGAGTCGAGTGAGGCCACTTGCAAGTGTCCAGCGGCCGTGTGCCGTGTACCTGAGGTTGGATTCCCTGTCGCTGAATCCCATCGCCTCGAGCTGCTTCAACTGATGGTCGTAAGTCAACACTGTACCACATACACACACGGATGGGCAACAGCACAGATGCGCATGATGCATTTCGTATCGGTTCGCAATCTCACCTGGGTTGGTTTGCTGCTGCTGCTGCTGCTGCTGAGTGCCGGTCTGGACGTTGCCCAGCTGGTCTCTGAGGGTAGCGGGGTTCTGCAGCATGGCCGCCAACGCTGGATTGGTCGCAGCCGCCGCACGAACCTGGGTCAATATCAAGCACAGAGACACCCACATCCACACACAGATGAGAGGAAAGGAAAGTATGGCAGCCAAACGTACCGCAGGATCGTTCATGAACTGCTCCATCGCTGCAGGGTCGTTGCGCAGGCTCTCGGCATATGCCGCCAGGTCGTCACCGCCAGTGGAAGCACCAGCCGTTACTGCAGCACGAGGGGCAGGTGGAGCCACCACTGGTGCAGCGGGGGCCGCCGCAGGGACAGGTCGTAGCGCCTCAACGTGGTCCAGATGAGCCTTGATGCGGCCCTCAACGGCCGCAAGGCCACCCGTCTTCTCATCATTGAACCGCCAGACCCCCTCCCCTTCTTCGTTTGTGGCCTCCTCGAACCCGATGGCTGCCATGGCGTCGGCCGCCCCGTCGATGTTGAGCAGGCTGGTCTGCATCTTCTTGTTGTCCTTCTTGACGGTCCTGTACTTGGCCTCGTCCGGGTGCTTGCTGATGTTGGCCGCCAGGTTCAGGAGGATCCTGAGCGCCTCGGTCGCCCTGGCCTTGGCCTTCTTGCCACCGGTGTCCTCTGACGCATCCACGGCCACCATCATGACCGCGATGGCGTGGTCGATCGGCTCGTCACCCCCTGCGTGGCTCAGAGGGGGGTCGCTCATGGCCGCCGGGATACTGGGTCCGGTTGGCCCGGCGGTCCAGATTGACTGCTGGTTTGCGTCGTGGAGGTGCTGCTGCATACTCTGCTGCATGCCACCCATCACACTTGCGATCATGGCGCCCAGGGGCGTGGACGACACGCGCTGAGGGAGGTTGACAATGTGCTCGGGGATGCCCTTGCCCAGCAGGAACTTGGCCGCCTGAGAACAAACACCACAGTGACCACACCGCGGCGCAGTGAGTACTTCGTTCGCAACATGCCCGTACCTCGTCGGTGAAGTTGTTGCAGTTGCGCGACAGGAGGTCTGAGCAGAGGGACGAAAAAGTGCAGACGGTGATGACTTCTCTCTCTGTGTGAGTGTGTGTCGCGTGCTCACTGTATGTGTTCTCCGTCCACATGTGAGCGGTCTCGTGGAGGTACCTGATGAGCCAATCCATCAGAAGCGATAGATAGCCACACTGTACGCTTCGCTGCTTCCTGCTGGCTCTGGTGCTTACGCGTGGAAGGCCTCCTCGGCCACTTCCGTGTCGCCCAGTGGGATGATCTCCACGGGCCGCATGCCATAGGTCGACTCGACCTCACTGGGCGTCAGCACCTGGATCCCCCCACCTGCATCCAGTCGCAGCACAACACACGGCAACGATGCCATCCCGCGTTTCCGTCATCGATGCGTGTTCGTTGCTGCGTCAGACTGACCGAAGAAGTACTCCCTGCCGAACACATGCAAGCCTGTGTGAGGGAGGTAGTCAATCTGCATCCCCAGCAGCGGCAGCGACATCTGACGAGCCCTGGGGAGGAACACAAAAATCAACACGCGCGAACATCGTGGTTTTGAGATTACGAGGCGGCGCTTTTCTCTCATGTGCGGCTTACATGCCCTGGCTGAGGTCGTACACCCGCAACTGGACGCTGCTTTTCGCCATTTTCTTCACGAGGTCTCAAGAAAAAGAAGCTCGCAAAAGAAGTCGAGATTTTCCGTCGAGAATTCACCCCCAGAGACGCCCTTCGCGCGTCTCGCTCCGCAAAGACGCTTTTCGCCTCGCCACGCCCCTGTTTGTCCCATTTTCGTGCCTGCCAGGCGCCCTCTTCCCTCTCTCGGCCTTCTTCCTCCACACGCCTTTCATGGCGGCGCTTCTCCACCCCGCTGCAATTGCTTTGGCGTGCTGCACGAGAGCCGCCTGCCATGGGTTCCTTCTGTCGTGGTTACCCTGGAAGAAGACACTGTCAGGCTCCCGCTGGTGGAAGTGGGCAAGAAGGGAAGACGCGAAATCTGTGAAGAGGCGAAAGCCCTCTGTTTTCTTCTTCTCCGCAGATAGAAACGCCACCTCCCTTTGCCGTGAAGTGCCTTCTTCGCACGCCTTAAAGTCGGCATGAGCCGCATGGCACTTGGATACCACTCAGGTGAGTCCCAGAGCCTGTTTACGACAGTACAGGCCACAATCGTTCCGTCGTTTTCGTGTGCTCAGCCCTCGGAGGACAGCGGGGAATGGCAATTCCGACTCAATGCGCTAGGGACCGTGACGCCCTTCGGAGGCGGGGCATTCAAGACATCATCTCGCCACGAGAAGAAAAGCCCTGTTGAACCATTCATTTGTGTTGCGATACAGTCAAGACCATTGCGTTGGAGTGTGCAGTTCACCGAGGCCATCAACAGCGTCAAGGGCAAGAAGATCCAGGACAAGGAGGGCATCTTCGCCGACGTGCAGCGGCTCGTCTCTGCAGCAGGTACGCCCCCACCGCACACACCCGACAATATGACACCCGTCACGTGCAGCTCGCCATACCAGCAGCACCTCATCTACTTTGGTACGCACCTACCGCAGACACCGCACACACATCTCCCTGACATTTTGTCGCTTGTCTGCGTATGCGTGTGTGGTGCAGACAAGGAGTTGAAGGACGGCCGCAGATCAGGAGGGAGAGCACACTGCACCTGCTGCGGCCCCTGGCAGGTATGACACACAGAAGCCACACACAGTCTCGTACACAGAAAGGAACAACTCAGGTGTCGCTCACCTGGTGTGTTGTGGTGTGTGCAGGCCCGACCAACACGTTGCAGCCGGGTGTCGGAGTGAGGGATGACTCAGGTCAGACCCACACGAATCACACACGTGTGTTGCAGGTTCTCTCTGTGTGTGTGCAGGCAGGGAGTTGGAGGACGACCGCACCCTATCGGACTACAACATCCAGAAGGAGTCGACCCTCCACCTCGGGATGCGTTGGAAAAAAGGCATGCAGATCTTCGTTGTCACCATCACTGGTACGTCGGACAACACACGTGAGGTGGCCAGCCGGACTTGCACACACGCACATCTATCTGTGTGGTGTGGTGTGCTATGGTGCAGGCCGGACCATTACGTTGGATGTGGAGCCCCTTGACACCATCGAGAAGGTCAAGGCCAAGATCCAGGACAAGGAGGGCCCATCGCCCTACCAGACGTGCCTCATCTACTGTGGTACGCACCTACCGCAGACACCGCACACACATCTCCCTGACATTTTGGCACACGTGTGTCTGTGTCTGTGTCTCTCTGTGTGTGTGTGTGGTACAGACAAGCCACTCAAGGATGGACGCACCTTGTCGGACTACAAGATCAAGACGGAGTCGACCCTGCACCTGAAGCTGCGTCTGGACGAGCCGATGGGGCCGACACAGCCAGGGGTGGGAATGGGGCGGAGCAGCACTCACGGTCAGACCCACACGGATCACACACACGTGACGAAGAGCCCCCTACCCTCACACACGTCTGCACGTGTTCCTTCTTGTGTGGTATGTGCAGTGGAGAGCAGGCCCCAGACGCCGCCACCACACACACCGGCCTCCTGGCTCAACCTGTCGCCCACAGGTAAGGCCCAGACACACGCTCACACACAGGACAGGACACAGCTGGCAATGGTCTGGTGTGTGTGTGTTCCCTCTTTGTCAGGCCGCCCCGTCCTCAACGAGGACGATTTCGACGATGGGATGCCCATCCCGCCCCCCGCACCGTTTGGTTTGAGCCTCGAGGATGTACAGCAGGAGCACTACCTGCAGCGGCTCAACGAGTACCACGCCGCCATCTTCGACGAAGGAGCCGGCCCCGCCCCAATCCCACCAAGCCACCACCGCACCTCCATGCCGCCGAGGGGCAAGCCCCTCCCACCGCCACCAGCAGCACAGCACAAGAGCACTCACGTGAGGACCATGCGGGTCTCTGTCAAGACCGCGACGGGTATGATGGAGGGGAGAGGGTCTGAGACACAGTGCATGGCCGCTGGGGGGGGATTGGATGCGTTGGCATGTGGTTCATTGTGTGTTGTGGTGCAGGGGGCGGAGGTGCAGAGGAGGGTGGGCATCGTTGCCTACATTTCATATCCGATGGTCCCCTGCTTGACTGGTGCGTATGGATGGAATCTGTCGAACGTTAAGACGGGTGAGCAGCAGATGGGAGACAGACAGAGAAAGAGAGACACTTTGGTTTTCTTTCTGCTTCTCGTCTCTCTCAGGAGTCATCGCTACCTGCAGCCTATATCTATCGATTTCTGTCGGACTATAAGATCAAGAAGGACAGCAAACTGCATCTGGTGCTGCGTCTGGACGAGCCGATGACGACGACTCAGCCAGGGGTTGGCAGGGGGCGCGCGACCAGCACTCACGGTCAGACCCACACGAATCACACACGCGTGACGAAGAACCACCTACCCTCACACACGTCTGCACGTGTTCCTTCTTGTGTGGTGTGTGCAGTGGAGAGCAGGCCCCAGACGCCGCCACCATCCACACCGGCCTCCTGGCTCAACCTGTCGCCCGCCATAGGTAAGGCCCAGACACACACTCACACACAGGACACAGGACACAGCTGGCAATGGTCTGGTGTGTGTGTGTGTTCCCTCTTTGTCAGTCCGCCCCGTCCTCACCGAGGACGATTTCGACGATGGGATGCCGATTCCGCCCCCGGCCCCCTTCGGCTTGAGCCCGGAGGAAATGAAGGCCCACTACCTGCAGCGGCTGAGGGAGTACCACGCCGCCATCTTTGACGAGGGAGCCGGCCCCGCCGCCATTCCTCCCAGCCGCCGTGCCGCCGATGAAGACGGGTAGAGATACGAAGAGACAGAGGTTTCCTTGGTTTCCTTTCTGTCTCTCCTCCTTTTTTTCTTTCTCAGGAGGGAGACATCGCTGACTTCATTTCATATCTGAAGGATTGTTCTCTGCTGGCGACTCGGATGCATGGGAGCGGGTGAGCACTCGCTCGCACACGCGGGAGATAAATGGTCTGTGTGCGTTCCCTCTTTGTCAGGGCGCCCCGACATCAGCGAGGACGAGTTCGACGACGGCATGCCCATCCCTCCCCCCGCCCCGTTTGGCTCAACCTTCGAGCAGATGCACTCGCATTATGTGCAGCGACGATCATGGTCGTCCGCACCCACAGCGGTCAGGCACAACACACTCACTCGGGGAGACAGGCAAAGAAATGTGGTGTCCATACGGCTCTTGTCATGATTGATGTGTGTGGCTGTGCAGGCCAGCTGCTGGATTTCGAGGTCGAGGACACCCCGCCCGCCACACCGCCCCGCCACAGCCCCGCCAACCGCCGCATGACGCGCTCCGAGTGGCTAGCGAGGCTGAGGCTCCAGGAGACGCCGCCACCCAGCCCCCCGCCACGTGTGGTGCCCGGCAGCCCGCTGCGCCTCAGCCCGCCCACCAGCCGTACGACCCACACACACCGATACAGACACATACACACGATTGGGCAACGACTTGCTTTGTCACTGTGTCTGCTTCAATGACATCAGAGCGCAACCGCTCGCCGAATGAGTTCGACATGGACGATGCCGCGGAGGCCGCCAACGCCCGCATGCTGCCGCTGCCGCCCGGCTGGGAGCCGCCCGGCTGGCAGCCGCCCCCAACCCCTCCCGGACTCGCTGCGATATGCGACCGCGAGCGGCAGCGGCACTACGAGCAGTTCGAGGTGTGGGTGCGTTGTTGTGCAGGCAAGACGATTACGTTGAATGTAGACCCCACTGACACCATCGCCAGTGTACGTCATGCGACCCACCAGCACCACACCACACCACAGCACACACTCATCGACCCACTCGTTCGTGTGCTCTCTGTGTGTCAACAGGTCAAGGCCAAGATACAGGAGAAGGAAGGCATTTCCCCCGACCAGCAGCGTTTGCTCTTCGCGAGGATGCAGCTGAAGGACAGCCGCCCTTTGTCGGACTACTCCATCGTGCTGCGTCTGCAGGACAGCATGCAGATCTTCGTCAAGACAGCCACTGGTACACACGTCACACACAGACCACACACATGAGAAAGGGGCACATGACGATTGCGTGTGTGTTGTTGTGTGTGCAGGCAAGACCATCACGTTGGATGTGGCGCGGGTGAGCAGCAGATGGAAACAGATCAATCCATAGAGACAGAGGCATGACCGGTTTCCTTTCTGTCTCTCAGGAGTCATCGCTGACTACATTTTATATCAGTGGGATTCTTCTCTGCTGATTATGCATTGGAGCGGGTGATTAACTTGGGGACGACCGCACTCTTGTGGGGCAGCCCGTTCATCCGCTGACATCCGACGCAGCAGGTGCAGCCTGGCAGAGAGAGAGAGAGAGAGCAGAGGCGAAAAGAAAGAGATTTCGTCCCTTTGCTCCGCCCACAGTAAGCGCAGGAGCGAGCAGAGCAAGAGGCAGGAGCAGTGCGCAGGGAGACACATGACGGTTCATTCGTTATAGCTGGAGACCGGTTCCTCAGCCCCTCCGAAAGGTTGCGAGCTTGAAGCCAAACCGCAGAGAGAGGAGGGAGAAAAACCGCTGTCGCTGAGGAGTGGAGGCCACTACGTGTATTCGATATACTCGATATCGTGTTCAGCCAAGGGACCGTTTGAACACGATGCTCATCTTCATCAAGACCGCCACGGGTATGAGGGCGGGGAGGGGGTCTGAGACACGGTGCATGGCCCCTGACGGGACATATTGCCATGCGGCTGAGTGTGTGTCACGGTGCAGGTGGGGAAGGTGCAGAGAGTGGGCATCGCTGCCTACATTTTATATCTGGTGGTTCGTCTGATGTCGGCTCGTTGGAAAAGTAAACCATTGAGAGGGAGAGAGGCGGTGTGCGTGTTTCTTGCGGTGTCGCTCGGACTGGCTTGTGTAGATGTCCTTCTGTCTGCTCAACAATGATGCGCACTTACAGACTCTTGTGTGCGAGAGAGGGGTGGCGGTGGTTGAGGGATGTATGTGCAGTGTGCAGCCTCTGGCAGGCTTGTAGACAGACGGACGGATGGTGGTGTCTATCATGATGGTGTCGTGATATGATGGTGTCGTGATGATGACAGAGACCGACAGACTCAGATGGACATTTGCCGTGTGTCATCGATTCAGAGCATGCTCATGCACAGGGGCAATCCGGCAGCTCACCCACTAGTGCATGCGCGCATGTCCCATGCAAACACAGAAGTAAACGCACCACATGGACACATGAGCAAGAAAGAAGGCAGGTATTTAGCAGACACCCCTCTTGCCGCCCCACTGCACGTCAGCTACTTCCGATGTCTTCGTGTGTGCCGCCGTCCAAGTCCACCTCAGTCACGTCGACGCCACCCCGACAGCTGCAGACGTGGACAGATTTCACCGATACCCTCTTCCTTCATGTGTCGTGTGCGCACCTGACGCGTACTGTCAGATGTTTGGCAGCAGCTCCAGGGAGGGGCGGTCCATGGTGTTGCGGGCCATGGCCACCTTCTGGGGGAAGACAGCAGGACCATCGCCGATCTGCTGGGGCGCCCCAGTGGTGCGGAGGGCGATGTATGCCGACTCATCAGGCCACTTTCTCATTCCGATGTATGCCGCGAAGTCGTCGCCATCCTCCTCGCCACAGAGTATGACGAGTCGGCGTGAGGAGCTGAGGTCGTGGTAGCCGATGGTGCGGCAGCCGTCCCCCAGGGGCGGCTCCTGGTCGACCAGGGCACAGATGCGACGATACTCGGCAGAGGACGGACTTCAGGCCCGATGCGACACCAAACGCGACGACCACTCTGCCAACCTGAAAGAGCAAGGAGGGGAAACGCAGCGCACACGACACATTGGTGTTCTTTCTTCTCAAATTTGACGCTGTATACTCCTTGATGATCAGTCCTCTGAAGCTGCCGTAGTCGAAACCATAGCCTGCAGACACAAGCAAACACAGCGGCAGACACCATCCATGTCAAGTTGCCCCACTTCATTGTGCTTGGCCCTCCCTCTCTCACGTCGGCACGGGTGATCGGCCGCATCGGATTGATCTCGATACCTGTCCGGCACCGTCTGTTCGGTGTACACCACCACCACACCCCCGCCCAGCCTGTCCCGCCCGAAGGCATCGCGCGTCAGGTGCATCCTCTCGCCCAGTCGGTGGCTGAAGAGGGCGTACTGGCGGATGCTGGGCGGGCGGCTGTCGATGACGGCATTGCTGCCCACCTGCTGCAGGTCGTCATTGGTCAGCTCGATGGGCAGGTGCTGGATCTTCCTGCAGCTATTGGCCAGCCGCAGCACCGGCACGTTGCCCCGCCAGTCGCCCCCCGTCACCATCAGGTAGTGCAGCCGGATCAGCCGGAATGGCCGACGGACGCCGGTCGACTGGCGCAGTTGGGTGTAGCCGATGACGCCAGTGAGGCCGTTGCGGCGGATGATGCTGTCGATGTTGGCGACCAGGTCGGCCTCGACGGCGCCGCTGACCGCCTCGGATGTGCGGCAGAGGGCGATCGTGTGCTGTGGGGTGAGGGTGGCGGCGTCGTCATGGTGGCCGTTGATGAAGGGCAGCAGGGTGCCGCCCATGACATCGGTGGGCAGGTCGGGCAGCTCGGGCGGGTCGACAGCACCAGACGGCTCTGCGGGCGGCGCGTCAACACGGCGGCGCTTCGAATTCACCTCAACCTGCACACACACATCACACACCACACACATTGGCCGTCATGGCGACCGAGGTGCCGCTGCCGTACCTTCTTCTTGAGGGAGGGGAAAGTGAGCAGGAACATGCATGACGTGTCGACCCACCCCTCCCCCCATCCCCCCCATCCCCCCCATGCCCCCCAGCTGGTGGTGTTGGTGGTTTTGGTGGTCTTCTCGTTGGCGGCGCGACGGATGAGCTTGAAGGTCTTGGAATGGCCCTCCAGCTATAACACACCATTCATCAGTCGACAGACGATGGCTGCGTGGACGTATCTGTGTAAAACGCACCAGTGCTACTGCATTCAGTCGGCCAAGGGCTCTGCAGAGGTCTGAAGTGGCGCTCTCGAGCATCGCCAGACGACTCTCAGCAACAGAACCCTGCACACAGACCACAGACCAGATCAACCAAAAGAATCACTCATTCACTCATTCATTGTGCAACGGACGTGTTGACTCACTGACCTTCGCAGCGATGTAGTCGATCGTGCCAGTCGCCTGCGCACACCGCACACACCATACAGGATACACACGACACACATGTCACACGACAGCCCACCACCTCCCTCCCTGCCACACAGGTGCTCTCATCTGCCAGTGCAGCCACTCGAGCCACCTACCTGATCGCGCGCGTGCTTCAGCTGCTTCACCACCGCACGGAACCTCTGCAAAGGCACACATACACACATCGTAATGAGAGACAGATGACAATCACGGTCATCGCCTGTTGTGAGTCTGCATCATGGCTTACCGAGTGCGTATTACTTTGCATCACGCTATGATTGATGAATATTGACACACCGGTACCTCCACCACCACCTGGCCAACACAAACCACACCATACACACGTGAGCCCTCCCCTCCCTCTCTCAGTGAGTCAGCCCACCTGCAGCAGCTGATGCCGATGTGCTGCTCATACTGCCGCCCGCTGGCCTCAAGGCAGCCCACACGACGCCTGAAGACCACCACACACACCATGGCAATGAGTGTAGTTCGCCCGTCTGTGATCTCGCCTGTGATCTCGCGCGCGCATGTGCTTACCGGTGAGAGGGCGGCGACTGCCCGACAAGCAAATTAATCAACCGATGGGAGAATGAGCCAATCTATCAGCGCCGCACACGTCAACCGTGGGAGCTGCAGACCAATTCTGCAGACACACACGAACAGAGGAGGTGAAATCATCCCTCAGGCCTCTCCTTCTCTGTAAGTGCGCCATCGGTGTCTGACCGTCTTCACTCCGTGTGTGTCGATGGCATCGCAATGCTGCATTGGTGAGATCTGCCACATACACCACAGCGCAGATCAGATGATGACTGGCAAGATGAATCATCACAGTCGCTGCATTTCAGTGTTTTCGCACCTTCGACGTCGCAAAGGCCACATAAGCGGTGCCTCAGCTCCTAGAAGGCGATTCGCGCCCTTCCTTCAACTGCGAGCTTCAAGCCAGAAAGCTCGCATTTCGAGGGGAAGAAGGGCAAAAGACCAAAAGACCGAGAGAGAGAGAGAGCAGAGCAGCAGCAGAGCTGACAGCAGCAAGAGCATGTTGGTCTTCATTAAGACCGCCACAGGTACCAGGGCCGGGAGGGTCTGAGACACGATGTATGCCCGCTGAAGGGGGGAAATGGCCAATGCAAAATGACCATCCGGATGAGTTGGATGCATTGGCACCTGGTTCGTTGTGTGCTGTGGTGCAGGCAGGACGATTACGTTGGACGTGGAGGGGATGGACACCGTGGGGAGTGTCAAGGCCAAGATTCAGGAGAGGGAGGGCATCCCACCCGACCAGCAGCGTCTGATCTTCGCCGGCAACCAGCTCGAGGACGGCCACACCATGACGGACTACCACATCGATGAAGGGAACACACTGCACCTGATGATGCGCCTGAAGCGAATGCACATCTACGTGTACGAACCACTCACTGGTACGTCGGGCAACACACGTCAGGTGGCCATCCTGCAGTGATACCCATGGGTGTGGGTGTGTTGGCCTGCAGGCAAGACCATCACGCTGGACGTGGAGCCCACGGATACCATCGAGACTGTCAAGGCCGAGATCCAGGACAAGGAGGGCATACCCACCGACCAGCAGCGCCTCTTCTACAACGGCAGGCAGCTCGAGGACAGCCGCCCCCTGTCGCACTACGACATCCAGAAGGAGAGCGCACTCCACCTGGTGATGCGTCTGCAGGACAGGACGCAGATCTTCGTCAAGACAGCCACTGGTACACGCGTGTGTTGTGATCTGTGTGCGGCGTGTGTGCAGGTCAAGGCCAAGATTCAGGACAAGGAGGGCATTCCCCCCGACCAGCAGCGCCTCATCTTCGCCGGCAAGCAGCTCGAGGACAGCCGCACCCTCTCGGACTACAACATCCAGAAGGTCAGCCACACACACACACACAAATCAGAGACACACATGAGATGGCCTCGTGACCCACACGTGTGTCTGTGGTTGTTGTCGCTTGGCGTGCAGGATTCGACCCTCCATCTGGTGCTGCGTGTGAGGGGCGGTATGCAGATCTTCGTCAAGACGCCAAGTGGTCAGCCGCGCCGCGCTCACTCACACACGCTGCAGAGGGCCACAGACATGTGTGTGGTGTCCGTGTGTTGGTGTGTTGTGCAGGCAAGACGATTACGTTGGACGTGGAGCACTCGGACACCATCGAGAGTGTGAAGGCCAAGATCCAGGCCAAGGAGGGCATCCCGGTCAACGAGCAGCGCCTCATCTTCGCCGGCGAGCAGCTCGAGGACGACCGCACGGTGTCGGACTACGACATCCAGAAGGAGTCGACCCTCCACCTGATGCTGCGCGTGAAGGGCGGGATGATCGAGATCGTCCGCACCCACAGTGGTCAGGCACAACACACTCACTCGGGGAGACAGGCAAATAAATGTGATGTCCATGCGGCTCTTGTCATGATTGATGTGTGTGGCTGTGCAGGCGAGCTGCTGCAGTATGAGGTCGAGGACACGGAGACCCCGCCCCCCACCCCGCCCCGTCGCACCCGACGCCACGGCCCCGCCCCCACCAGCTGGGAGATCCACTGCGCCCGTATGGCCAGCCAGCGGCTCGAGGAGATGACGCCGCCGCCCAGCCCTCCGCCGGTCGTCCTCCCCGGCACGCCACTGTCGCGGCTGAGCCCTCCCACAGACGGTACGACCCACACACCGATACACACACATACACACGATTGGGCAACGACTTGCTTTGTCACTGTGTTTGCTCCAATGCTATGTATCAGAGCGCAACCGTTCGCCCAACGAGTTTGACATGGACGACGCGGCGGAGGCCGCCAACGCGCGCATGCTGCCGCTGCCGCCCGGCTGGCAGCCGCCCCCGACCCCTCCCGGCCTCGCCGCAAGCACGGTGCGCGAGCGGCAGCGGGAGTACCAGGTGTTTGAGGAGGGCAACGGCGCCGCCGCCATACCGCCCAGCCACCACCGCACCCCCATGCCGCCCAAGGGCAAGCCGCTGCCGCCGTCGCCCAAGGCCACGTACCCCCCTCCCGCCCAGCCGGTGGGTGTGCAGTGGGAGCGGGTGGCGTGGGAGGCGGTGGAGTTCACCTTCACCGCCCCCCACGGCGAGGTGGCGGTCCAGGGAGGGTGGGTAGTGCGCGAGGGGTGCGGCTGGGGGTCCTGGAAGGAGCTGCTGTGGCTGCCTGCACACGTGGCCCAGCAGCACGGGCTGCCGAGCCGGTGGGTGATGTTGGGGGAGGTGTCGGGGTGGGGGTGATATTTCGCCTGCTGCTCACAGCCCCGGCTGTGAGCAGCACCCACCTCACCCTCACTTGACACTTGCGTAGGGGGGGGGAGGGGGGAGGGCTGGGCGAGTGTCTGTCTGTCCGTCTGCCTGTCCGTCTGGGAGGGCTGGGCGAGTGTCTGTCTGTCCGTCTGCCTGTCCGTCTGCCTGTCTGTCCGAGTGTCTGTGGTGGTCTGCCCTTCTAATCGATTTGACGAGGGATGGGGGTAGGGTAGGGTAGGGCAGGGTAGGGTAGCGTAGGCCAAGTCCTATTGTATTCAGTACATAGCCTGTGTGATTTGTTTCGTCTGTCTGTACCTGCGTCTTGTCGTGTTTATCATGTGTAGCGAGCTGTGTGGGTGGATGGATGGATGGGCGGGGGGGTGGTGGGTTGTGGCTCGGTTGGCTGGTTGGTTGGTCGGTGGGTTGGGCTATCCATCTGTTTTAGAACTCTCTCTCCCTCTCTGTCCCTCCCTCCCTCCCTCTCTTCTCCCTGCCTGCCTACCGACTGACCGGATGGCCGTTGTTGTTTGTTTGAGTGTATGTGCTTATCTCACGGGTGATGGATGGCCAGTTGGCTGACTGACTGATTGGCTGAGGGGACGGGTCGGTATGGGCGGATGGTGTGGAGCGGTGCATCGGTGGGGATGTCAAGAGCGACTCCTCTGCGGAGATTCAAAGGGCGTTGTATGAGGGCGCCGTGCTCTACGTGGCCACCTTCCGAAGTCTCATCAATAAGGTCAGGAGAGGGCCGCAACAGAGTGTGTCTGTCCACGTACCGATGGGATGCGTGGCTCCCTTGCTCTTCAGGTGTCCAGCCTAGACGTGCGCTTCAACTCTCTGCTGCATGGCGGCCTGTTCGCCGCCGTGTGCTCTCTGGAGATGCTGCTCCTCAACCCATCGCCACTGGACGACTCCGTCCGCTTCACCGACGCACGGACGGCCCTCGCCCACATCCGCCTCTACCAGCACCGGCACCCTGCCTCTGCGAATGGCGTGGCAGAGGCACCAAGCAGAGGCACCAACCCCGACTGCCCCACTTCGCAGATACGGGGGGTCTACTACTGGCCGCCCAGAGAGGTAACCCATCCGACACACACACACACACACAGACGTGACGGCAATCACTCACTCTGTCCGTTCTGGTGTGGTCGTGTGCAGGAGTGGCGTGTCAACTTCACTGACGACCAGAGCGGCAAACGTCGCATGAAGACGTTTCCAGCCAGGGTATGCGCACCACACAGGCAGCGAGGCAGACCACAGACAAAACAGAACAAATCATCCCTCGCACACCAGACACAGCCCGTGGATGGCTCGGCTCATGCTTAGTACATGTGTGTGTCGCAGCGCCTGGGCTTCGACGAGGCGCAGAAGCT